CTCCTTCAGAGTGCAGGCACTGTACTTCCCATCTCCAGGACTCAAGTCCGGCCTGCCGGTTTCCCTGAATCCCTTCATAAATGTTACTTTGCTCACACTCCAACAGCACGTCAAGTATTAAAAACCATTTGTCTCCATTCACTCCTATCAAACACGCTCACGCATGCCTGCTGGAAGTCCAAGCCCCTCGCACACAAAACCTCCTTTACCCCCTCCCTCCAACCCTTCCTAGGCCGACCCCTACCCGCCTTCCTTCCACTACAGACTGATACACTCTTGAAGTCATTCTGTTTCGCTCCATTCTCTCTACATGTCCGAACCACCCCCAACAACCCTTCCTCAGCCCTCTGGACAACAGTTTTGGTAATCCCGCACCTCCTCCTAACTTCCAAACTACGAATTCTCTGCATTATATTCACACCACACATTGCCCTCAGACATGACATCTCCACTGCCTCCAGCCTTCTCCTCGCTGCAACATTCATCACCCACGCTTCACACCCATATAAGAGCGTTGGTAAAACTATACTCTCATACATTCCCCTCTTTGCCTCCAAGGACAAAGTTCTTTGTCTCCACAGACTCCTAAGTGCACCACTCACTCTTTTTCCCTCATCAATTCTATGATTCACCTCATCTTTCATAGACCCATCCGCTGACACGTCCACTCCCAAATATCTGAATACGTTCACCTCCTCCATACTCTCTCCCTCCAATCTGATATTCAATCTTTCATCACCTAATCTTTTTGTTATCCTCATAACCTTACTCTTTCCTGTATTCACCTTTAATTTTCTTCTTTTGCACACCCTACCAAATTCATCCACCAATCTCTGCAACTTCTCTTCAGAATCTCCCAAGAGCACAGTGTCATCAGCAAAGACAGCTGTGACAACTCCCACTTTGTGTGTGATTCTTTATCTTTTAACTCCACGCCTCTTGCCAAGACCCTCGCATTTACTTCTCTTACAACCCCATCTATAAATATATTAAACAACCACGGTGACATCACACATCCTTGTCTAAGGCCTACTTTTACTGGGAAAAAATTTCCCTCTTTCCTACATACTCTAACTTGAGCCTCACTATCCTCGTAAAAACTCTTCACTGTTTTCAGTAACCTACCTCCTACACCATACACTTGCAACACGCCACTTTGCCCCCCTATCCACCCTGTCAAAACCCTTTTTTCCAAATCCATAAAGCCACAAAACCTCTTAAGCCTTATCAAATACGTTCACTTATATTTTCACTGTAAACACCGCCCACACCCCCTACCTTTCCAAAGCCCCCTTTTTCTCTGCTACCTATTTTTCCCCGTCTTACTCAAATTTCTTCAATTATAACCTACAAAACACTTTAACCGGTACACTCAACGACTTATCCCCCAAAAAATTTTTTGCACTCTTTTTTAATCCCCTTTGCCTTTAAACAAAGGAACTATGCATGCTCTCTCCCAATCCCGGGTCCCTTTACCCTCTTCCATACATTTTTTAAAATAATTGCACCAAACCACCCAAAACTATACCCCCCCCACCTGCTTTTAACATTTCAAATTTTTATCCCATCAATCCCACGCCTTACCCCCTTTCATTTTACCTACTCCTCCCCGAACTTCCCCCACACCATAAGGTTGATGAAGTCAAATCGGGCAGTGAGCATCTGGGGGGACTGCAGTTTCTGCACTCCTATGGACAACCCACCACTGAGATAACTGGGGCTTGGTGTTCTTGCGAGAGACAGACGACAGACAGACACACTTTAGACGAGATAAGACAGAGACAGAGACCCCAAAGTCAGTAATCACCAGACAGCCGCCTCCCAAAATACGTATTACACATGTTCCAGAATCTTTTCCTTTTTACTTAGGTATGGGTTTAACACAACTTTCTGGCGGGATGACACTACCAGTGGAAGGGGTAGTTAATAGGGCATCAGTTTTTGCCAGCGTTTGCTTTTAGCTGGCGCTAAAATTAACTGGTGCCTCAAAAGGTGCTAATGGTCCCAGTTTTTTTTAATTTTGTGCACCGAGTTTTAAAGGGCCTATTCTGTACTAAACCAGGCATCTCAGCCAATCATGCTAAATTTGGAGGCGGGGAAAAATAAAACGTTGATTACTTTGGACACTAGCGGGAATAAATAGATCTATGTTTTTGGGCAGTTTGGGGGAAAAATTTGCAATCATTAAAATACTTGTTACTTCAAAGCCCAAATTTAGGTACCTTCCTTATGTCACCATATGGAAAACCCCCGGTTTTTTAAAATTTTAAACTGTTCCAGAGTGAGTGACAAACCCGAATCTGACGATTTCGAATTTTTTTCCCATAAGAAAAAAGTAAAACCAATTTCCCTTTAACTGTTTCGGGCGTATATGTCGTCTTATGACCAATGGTTTTTTACATATAACTACTCAAAAATTCTACGCTTTTAAATCAAAAAGAAAAGCTGGTAGGCCCACATGTGAGAGAATGGGGCGTGTGGAAGGGGCACAGTAAAAAAAAATCCGCAGCAAAGCAGTCCATAATGAGAAAAAAAAACTCCGACCGGTTTTTGGATTTAAACACGACTTTTAGGTGTATTTTGATAGTATTTAGGTTGTTTCTTGTTTTTGGGCTCATTTGATAGAATGGAAAACATATAGAAAAGAAGTGATTTTGATTGGTTTTACTAGAAAAGGACTTAAATGGAGCCAAAGTGGCAGAAATTTTGATGTTTGCCGATTTCGGGAGTAAACAAAAGACACATTGTCCAAAAAATGTCCACCTAGCCATTCTAATACACAGTCATGATGGGGTTTACATTTTTTAAAACAATTTTTACAAATTGCAGTGCTGCAAACAGAAATCTTCTTTTTTTGTGTGAATAAAAATTCAAAATGGAAAGCAAGATATTATAATGGGCCTGCAGACAGACTGATGAAAAAAGAGAATGAAATTTTTGTGCCCGGGAAAGTCTCTTGTTCATTCTGGACCCCATTTTGAAAAAGACATTTTTTTAAAATTTTCTTGAAATTGGCCAAATTGCCAAATTTTTGACCACTTATTGGGTATTGAAATCAGTAAATGGCGGTTTTCTTTTTACCATCGAGAGAACAAATGGAGTTTCTAAAAAATAGCTAAATTTTTTACTGAAATAAAGGAATTTGGGCCCAAAAATAGGCTCAAAGGGGCGGGGGAAAGCCCAAGCGTAAATGTTGCTGAGGGCGCTATCCCTTTTGAGAGCGAATTCCGTAATTTTTTCCCTCAAATTTCTTACTTTTTTGGGGTCATTATCATGGAAAAAGGTTCTCTATCATTTTATAAGAAAAAAATTATTTATTTTTTTTTTTTTTTTAAAATTTTGCGACACCCCGGGACACTAGGGTTTTGGGGTTGCGACAATCAAAGGGGTTTAAACCATTTCCCGACACCCAAAAGTATTAACAGAACTATTTTTTCATAGATTAAATTTAGATTTGCATACAGAAAAGAATGAGAAATCAAGTATAAAACAATATGACACTTTATTGAAGACTCTTGTTGGTGTATGGAAGGTGGGAGGAGCGGAAAGAGTTAGGATGATGTTACATAAAAACATAAGAATGGAGGAACACTGCAGAAGGCCTACTGGTCCATACAAGGCAGGTCCTTAAATACAAGGCAGGTCCTTAAATTCAAGGCAGGTTCCTCCACAAATGTTTGCACCTCACTCCCCTTTGCACAAATGTCCTTAATCTTTGAAGAAGGCACCTTCTTCCCTCCCTCTTTCTCCTCTGAAGCAATTTTCTCAGCTGGTGTACATAAGAAAGCAGGAACACTGCAGTAGGCCTGTTGGCCTATACTAGGTAAGTCTTTCACAAACCATCCCACTAACAGAATTGTATATGCCCAACCCAATTTTCAATGCTTCCCAAACAATAAGCGCTGATAATTCTATTCACTTGTGCACAAGTCCCACTCAAATCAAATCGTTTGTGTGGGGAAGTACCCTGGTTAGTGTGTGGGGAAGTGCTCTGGCTGGTGTGTGTGGGGAAGTACCCTGGCTGGTGTACATGTGAAAGCAGGAACACTGCAGCAGACCTGTTGGCCCATACTAGGCAGGTCCTTCACAAACCATCCCACTAACAGAATCGTATTTGCCCAACCCAATTTTCAATGTTTCCCAAGCAATAAGCTTTGATAATTCTGTTCACTCATGCACAAGTCCCACTCATGTCAAATCGTGTGTGTTGGGAAGTACCCTGGCTGGTGTGTGGGGAAGTACCCTGGCTGTGTGTGGGGAAGTACCCTGGCTGGTGTGTATGGGGAAGTATCATGACTGGTGTGTTCTTTCTTGAATTCTATCATGTTTATCACCTTCTTTACCAAAGGGCTGGCACTAGGAGCTTTCTTTTGGCCCATTGTAGCTTATTTAGCAGTTGCAAGCACTAAATCGAATGGAATAGTATTACGGAATGTATCATATGAACACGTGGGAGCGCGCTCACTGGCTAATAAACAATGACACACTGACAGTAAATGCTGTGTCAGGCCGCTCAGACCCGTTTGAGATGAATGACTATTACCGAGTTAAATGACGATCACCGAGCCAATATTTTGATGAAAAACCGTTACTATTTCCGAATATTACGAAATCCGACTACTATGAAAGGGGGGGGGGGGGTCCACTGTATATCAAAGAAATACAAAAATCACTCCAAATCTTTATCATCTCCTGCTTTTAACATTTCAGTTTTAATCCCACTGGTCCCAGCTGAAGAATAAAAAGGCACGATACCATGATTGGAACAATACACAAATAACCTGCATATAGGAAAAAGAAACTTAGGATGATGTTTTGGTCTCACTTGGACTGCAACATCATTGTAAGTTTCTTTCCCCTTTGTGCGGGTTATTTGCATATTCTCTCAGCTGCTCTACCCACTTTTATTCTATTCATTGCCTCGTGCACTTTACTCACGTTCACCTCTGGTTCCTTCTTTTCTGTGTTGAAGAATGAAGCAAGATATGTGTGTTCCCCAGGTTGAAGGATGCAGTCGAGAACCACAAAACCAGAAAAGAGCTGGAGGAGAGCATCAAGAAGCTGCAGAAACAACACCTCTGGTTTCTCTATGATATGAAACGCAAG